AATATAAATTTTTCTTACATAAATTGTAACATAATACATATGTTACACCTTGCTTTCCCCCTTAACAATCAATATATCTTGAGGTTCTTTCTATATTGTTACATAAAGATTTCCTCATTCTGCATTACGGCTGCATAATATTCCATACTTTTAATGTATTAATTATATGCTGTTATTTATTTACCCAGTCCTCTGTTGATGGATATTGGGTTGCTTTTACAAAGTGCTGCCATGAATAACCTCATATATGAGGTGTTTTTCGCGTGAGCATAGGTAATAGAATCATCCAGAACAGGTCCGAGGCCTTGCCTGTCTTGCCACTATCAGGTATACCATACATTGTAACTCATTTGAATGATGGTGTAGCAGAGTTTGCAAATCACTCTCTTAAGAATAATCTCTAAGGGGTTCAAGACTTTCTTTATATAGTAAGATCACTTTTGCCCCAATTTTATTCCAAATGTGCTTTCCTACAGGTGAGCAAAAGGAGCCAGGATGTGCACAACCAGGGGTCTAGCTTATCTATGGCCCCAGGGGTGTGGCATGTGGGTGACTGCAATGCTTCAGGTGTGTGGGGGTAGAAAACTGGGAGAGAATCCCTGACCCAGTTAAATTTGACTGTTGATCAGTACATCTCGGTCTCAAAACCTAGAAAAGGATTCCACACCTTTTCGGGGGAAGTAAGTATTTTCCCTTTCTCAGGGGTCTGAGGCCTGGCAGTAGCAGGCAACTTGGAGGCCCTCCAGGCCGGAGAGACAGCATGTTCACTATTTCCAAAGCAGTTTCGCAGAGCCCTCTCACCACAACCCCACAGGATGAGAGCTTCCCTAATTTCACAGGTGAGCACCTGAAGCTCAGTGAAGCTGAGTTTTGTGTCAGTTTCCAAGACACAAAACTAGCTGATGAAAGAGCAGGGCTGGCGCTTGTCCCTACTGCCCTGCCCAAGCTGTTCATTTGCATCCTACTGCTTGGAGTTTCCTCCCTTAGAGATTCAAACCTCACCACATAGAAACACCGGCAAAAATGCTAAAGTCATCAATACCATCAGTGGTAAAAAAGTTGAGTCAATTTACTTAAGAATTCCAATTCCTTCTCTAAGGGATTTTGTTCCTTATACAAGAACAAT